AGGGTATGCACATTTTATAGCCCTTTGGGCATAGTTCCAAATTGCTCTCCAAAATGGTTGAATCAGTTCACAACTCCACCAACAATGCATTAGTGTTCCAATTTTCCCACATTTTCTCCAACATTTATCATTTTCCTGTTTTGTTATGTTAGCCAATCTGATAGGTGTGATGTGGTACCTCAAAGTTGTTTTGATCTGCATTTCTCTAATCAATAGTGATTTAGAGCATTTTTTCATATGACCATAAATGGCTTTAATTTCTTCATCTGAAAGCTGCCTGTTCATATCCTTTGACCATTTATCAATTGTGGAGTGACTTGTATTCTTATAAATTTGACTCAGTTCTCTATATATTTTAGAAATGACACTACATATTTTATCTATATATTTTATCAGAGACACTGGTTGTAAAAATTCTTTCCCAGTTTTCTGCCTCCCTCCTAATCTTGTTTACATTGTTAGCCAGTTTTTTTTTTAAGAAAGGTCTCATTCTGCCTTGTTGGATAGTATGCTTCATCATTAGTCTTCTTGAATTGTGATAGGTCTTGCATTGATCAGAAGTGTCGAGTCTTGTTTGTCTCTACGACGTTGTTGCTATTGTATAAATTATTCTCCTGGTTTTGCTCATTTTACTCTGCATCAGTACATACAAATCATTCTAAGTTACACTGGAACCATCTCTTTACTTTTTTTTTTTTAGGCAATTGGGGTTAAGTGACTTGACCAGGGTCACACAGCTAATAAGTGTCAAGTGTTTGGTCCGAGGCCAGATTTGAACTCAGGTCCTCCTGACTTCAGGGATGGTGCTCTTTCCACCATGCCACCTCGCTGCCCCTCTTTCTTTACTTCTTATGGCACATTAGTATTCCATTACATTGATATACCATATTTTGTTCAGCTATTCCTCATTTGACAGGTACTCTAGTTTCCAGTTATTTGCTACAATAAGAAGGGTTGCTATAAATATCTTTGAACATATGGGTTCTTTTCTTCTTGCTTTATCTCTTTGGGGTATAGACTTAATGGGAAGTGGTTCCAAATTGCTTTCCCTAATGGTTGGACCAATTCATAGCCCCAATGGCGTATTCACATACATTGATGACACTTTTTAATCTTCCTTCTGGAAGTCCCATTTTTGTCACCATGAATGACTAGAAGTAGGTACTTGTCTTCAGTTCTGTTCAGTCTTGTGAGGTTTCTCTGTTTTGTCTTGGATACATACCCCTGGAAGACAATAAGTTACTGGGCCAACAAATAGGTCCTTAACCACCCCTAAGCAGAAAATCACCAACTACTATTTCTTTTCTCTTCTTTTGCCTTTTATTGAATGAGAACAACAACTGTTTTGTAATTTATTATTTTACTGAGTTTTCTGTGGGTTTTGAGGGGTTAAATTACTTGCCCAAGGTCACATTGCCCTTTTTACTTATTCTAGTGACTTTGGCTCCATCTGTGTGTACCTCATATGACAACTTTTTAGATTGGAGAATTGCTCTGCACAACAACTGAATGGAATTGTTACCCCTTATCTAATAATCCCTCTAGTGAGCTCCTAGTCTCATAATCCCAGGACACTAGAATATTTGGCAGAGACTTTTCATTCACTATCCCCTTAAGGATTAAAGGATTGTGTATTCACCAAGAATTGTCAGTTAATTTAACTAAAAATGAGATTACATTTAGTTTAGCTGAGACTGTAGAAAAAGCAAAAGTAAAGAATAGACCAAACAACCATTTAAAAAATTCAATTCAATTCACCAATCATTTACTTAGCATTTATCAGAAGCAAGGCATTATGCTAGGTATAGGGGAGATAAATAGAAAAGTGGGAGTCTTTACCCTTTAGAACTTTATCTTCAGCTGGGAAAAGTCAACATTTACACCAATAAATTGTTATGAAGTTTATACAACATAATTTTAGAGCGGGAGAAAGCACTTACAACTGGGGGATGTAAGAATAGGTCAGGAAAGACTTTGTATAGGAGATGGCATACAAGTGAATTGGATTTAAGTGAGGGAGGGCTGTGCAAAGTCACCAGCCTTACTTTCTCATCCAGAGCCATCTGGATCCAGTGACTAGATATATATCAGGATGACTGGAGTTGGCCCCAGATAACAGTGGGGAATCTTGGCCTTTTCAAGCTATCTTTAACAAGTTTCAGTTTGACTGAGGCAACCTGTATATTCATATGTATGTGTGTGTGCATGTGTTTGTGTACATAGATGTATGTGTGTACATGTGTGTATAATTATATGTATGTATGTATGTATAGAGTGATATATAAATGCTAGTTGTTGTTGTCATTGTTATTCCAAGAGTTGTGTGGTTTGATGCAATGGGAAACCTCGGCCTTTTTAAGCTAAGGTCTTTCTGAGTTCTCATTTTGACTGAGTCAATGCCCATTCAAAGATTAGAGCTCTTTAAGAATGAGCCAAGGGATGGCCTCTTTAATCCAAAAAATAAATAAATAAATAAACTGGGAAACGGGGGTGAGAAAGAAGTACATTCTAGCTGTGAAAGACAGACGGTACATTGTCATGGATGTGGGAGATGAAATATTTTGTATAGGGACCAGGAAGTAAGTCAGTATTATTTAGCCTGTGTGAGTTGAGTAGCATATAAAAATGCTTGGAACATTAGGTTGGAGTCAGATATTCCTCGGCCTGAAATGACAGCAGAGTTTATTTTATTCTAGATACAATAGAAAGCCACTGAAGATCTAAGAGGAGGGGAATGATATGGCTTAGACTTGTGCTTTATGAGGATTATTTTGGCATTTGTGTTGAGAATTGAACAGGGAAGGCACTGAAAGCAGGGAATGCAATTAGGAGGCTATTGATAGAGTTTAAGTAAGAGATAATGAAGGCTTGAGCTGAGTTGTTGGCTATGCGAGTAAAAAGTAGGGAATGGATGGGAAAGATGTTGTGATCATTGAATTGATGAGACCTGGCAAGCAGAATGAAGAGTTGGACTACATATTAAGAACTCCTGCTTATCTCTAAGATTTTTTTAAAAAGAATTTAAAAGGAACAGATGATTTAAAAAAAGACAATTTTTCAATCTTTCAAATCAGCTTTAAACTAGTCAATCATTGCTAAACCTACTCCCCCAACTCTACTGCAGTCATTCTGTGCTGCCCAACCTCCCTGTAACCATGAGAGAGAGGGCTCCAAGATGGTTCCTTTCCCCTCTACATTTGCGTGTATATGAGTGTGGTTTGTCCTTCATTCTCAAAGAGGACCATGGCATCAGGAAGATGATGCCATGACTAACAATTAAATTGAATTAAAGGGAGGGAGGACTGTGCAAAGTTACCAACCTCACCTTCTCCTCCAAAGCTATCTGGGTACAGTGGCCAGATACAGATCAGGATGACTAGAGATGGCCCTGGATGCAGTAGAAGACCTTGGCTTTTTTGAGCTCAGGTCTTTCCGAGTCCTCACTTTGACTACATTTGGAGTGTATAGAATCCCAAGGATACTGTGTACTGAGCTTATTAAATCTCCACATAAACCTGAATAACTGGAAGTGTGGTTATGCTCTGGATGGAAATAAGGATTTAAGGGTGGAGGCACATTTAGGGAGAGAGAGTGTGATTTCCACTTTAGATATGTTGAGTTTGAGATATGAGTAAAGATGCCCATTTGCAAGTTGCTGAGGCCAGACTGGAGTGAGGAAAGTGAGCTGAAGGCCAGGTGTATGGATCTGGGCATCATCAGCATGAAAGAATAACTGAACCCATGGGAATTGATGAGGTCACCGAGAGAGGTGTAGAGGAAGAGAAAAGGATCAGATAAAGCCTTGGAATACACCCATGCTTTAATGGGAGGTTCATTTGGATATTCCAGCAAGGAGTGTTCAAATAGCTGGGAGGAGAGCAATATCCCAAAATTGATGGAGAAGAAAATATTCAGGAGGTGGGAGGTGGTCAACAGTGCAAGAACCAGAAAAGGTTAAAAAAAAAAAGGATGAATGAGAACTGAGAAAAGAACATAGGATTTAATTATTTCTAGATCACTGGTAACCTTGGCAAGTACAGCTTTATTCACCATGGGTGTGGAAACCAGATTGCAAGAGGTTGAGAAATGGGAAGTAAATAAGTAGATGTTTTTTCCCTTGGGAATTTAGCTATGAAAGGCAGAAAAGATACAGGGCAATAGTTTGAGAGGATGATAGAGACCCCAAAGAAATATTTTTTTGAAATGAAATATCTCCCCCTTAATTGTTGTGAATCTGAAATTTCAAATTTCAAAGTAGTATTTATTTAAAGACCTTGCTGATTTCTAGTATGTTGTAAGATTTTTCTTTCACAATTCAAGGCTATTAAACATTTTGTCATGTTTAATTGTAATGTCTATGTACTATACAGGAAGGAGGGGCCTTGATTTTGAAACACAGGCCTCATTCATAAGACCAGGAGGCCACAACCTAGAATCATACTTGATTTACTGGATGGTGATACTGTTTTGAAGAAATTAAGTTCTCTAACCCTCATCTACCCTTCTATATCTTCAATCAGCAAGGAAATTCATATCTAAGCCCTTCCCTACTCCCCCACTTCACCTACTATCAGCGACTTCAGTAACTGCCTCCAGTTCCTGAGGTCTTGTCTTCATAAATCTTTTTTTTTTTCCCTTGGGATTTTACATCAAAGTAACCATGGCAGAGATAGGGTCAGTTGCTATTGTCCTATATAATTGTTGGAATAATTTCTTGAAATAATGTTTCTTTTACAGCTTTTCCATTTGCTATGTAAAATTGCAACCATCTTTATGGAGTAAGCCATGTCTCTGAAATAATGGAAAACTTGACTCATCTCAACTGCACTGGGTCCAATATAAATGTATTCTGCTAATGCATTAGCCCACAGTTAAAGCTTATTGCTGTGCCAGTTGTCCCTATTAAATTTTTAGCATTTTTGAATATTGCATTGCAAGAAGCTTAGGCTTATTTGCATTTGTGATCATAAGAGCTTTTTTGTTGTTTTCTTTTAATGAAGAACTCATCCTGAGATCCAGTGACTCCTGTGGGAAATGGTCATTAGTGATCTTACATCGAGGACTGTGCACCTTTATGATGAATGGATCAAAGATGCCGGTAAGTTGCTAAATTTCTTGTATATAGATCTCCCATTTTTTTTTTTTTAATAGGATGTTTAACAGTACTTTGTCACATCTAAATGAGTACTTTGTGGCCAAAGCTTTTTTTTTCAAGTTAAAAGAAATGATTAACTTTGTTGCCAGGAAAGAAAGCATGTAGAATTATAAAATTTGAATAAAACATTCAAGTTGGCAGAGGTTAAAATGATTTTCCCAAGGTCATATAGCTAGATACCAGGCCTGCCTCTCAGTCTAAAGCTTACATTTTAAACTAGGTTGGTTTTTTTTTTTTTTGGTGAGGCAATCAAGGTTAAGTGACTTGCCCAGGGTCACACAGCTAGTAATTGTCATGTGTCTGAGACCAGATTTGAACTCAGGTCCTTCTGACTTCAAGGCCAGAGCTTTATCCACTGTGCCACCTAGCTGCCCCCCAAAGCTAGGGTTTTTAAAAAAAATTCCCTCTCTACCACCACCACACAAAGACTTAATGAACTCAGTATACTGGGGATTATGTAGAGGGGAAAGGAACCACCTTGAAGCTCTCTCCCTCCTGGTGGAACAACACAGAATAGGTATAATAAGGTAGGGGGTAGAGGTCTGCCAATAATTGGTTCAAAGTTGGCTTGAAATATAGATTTGTCTTTTTTTTTTTAATCATCTCCTCTTTTTAAATTTTCACCTTTGAGATAAGCAGGAGTTCTTAACATGTAGTCTAAGAACCACCTCCAGGGGCGTAGGGAGGTTGTACATAGATTTAAGGGGGTTGGTGAACTTAGGTGGGGGAAAAATGTTACACCTTCATTTTCACTTAACCCCTAATTAAAACTTGGTATTGCCTTCAATGATTTAAAAAATTATTCTGAGAGAAGTAGTTCATAGGTTTCACCAGACTGTCAAAGCGCCCCCCACCACACGCACACAGACAACACACAGAGGTTAAGAACATCTGTTCTCAAGTTTGTCCCCTCTGTTTGCCTGAGGGCTCTGTAATCTTTCTGTTTAGTCCTTACTGGGTTTATTTGCTCCCCTCTGAGTACATGTCAAAGAAGAGAATCAGTTAAGAATACAATAATCTGGGCCCAAGATTGAGGGTCTGTAATCTTGACTTCTGTTCTTGACTTCTGCCCTAATTCTGAGCCCCCTCAGCCCTTGGGAAATTTGCTGATGGTAACAGTTTTTTGACCTGCAATGGAATGGACATCATGCTTATTAACTTCAGCTGGAAAACTCAGTGGCCTAGGAACTACAAAAAGCCAGAATTTGGCAGTAGGTCAGAAATCTGCAAATCCCCTAAAAGTTCAATAACAATGCACACATTTCAAAGCAAAGCTAATTAAAAGTAACATTTGTCAAGGGCACCTTTGATGGGCCTACATATAAATTGCCTGCTCTTAGTAGATAGAGGAAAACTAGTGCCAATTAGTGTAACATGGTCCCACTCTGGTCCCACTCTCTGGTCAAGTCTGTTGCATTTTATTTCTGCTCTTTCCACCAAAGTTTTTCCAGTGCTGGGGAGTCTCTTTTTTCTTGTCATTGGCTGGAACCACTAATGATTTTGTTCTCCCATTTTAGGAGCTGAGTGAATAGCACCCCAGTTCCATTTAACCACTTAATAATAGATTAGCTTGTACAAAGAAATGTTAACTTCAGAGATAGAGTAAGAATAAACATATCAACATTTCCCTCAATGTGTAGGGCTCCTTATACCACCACAGTCTTTAGGGAAGGGAGGGAAATTAGGCTCACAGCTTAGCTCAATTCCTACGTGGCATTAGTTCCTCCAAATTAAAGTTCAGAGCTCCACTAGGCTAACATAGAGCACGCTTGCTCTTTAAGGCTTCCCTCCTGGCTGGGCAGCTAGGTGGCACAGTGGATAGAGTGCTGGGCATAAAGTCAAGAAGACTCATCTCCCTGAATTCAAATGTGACCTCATCCACTAGCTGTGTAACCCTGGGCAAGTCACTTAACCCCATTTGCTTCAGTTTCCTCATGTATAAAATGAGCTGAAGAAGGAAATGGCAAACTACTTGCCAAGAAAATTCCAAATGGGGTCACGATGAGTCAGACTCAGTTGAAAAACAATTGAACAAAAGCTGGACTGCTTGAAACACCTCATCTGGATTGCTAACCTTCTGGACTCTAGTGACTTGAGCTCCCAAGTTAGAGACTCGACTTTCTGAACCTAGAAGTGAAAAGGATAGTCAGAAAAGGCTCAAACTCCCAGCCAATTTCTTGGGGCCACATGCCTAAGTAGGTGGAGGGGGGAGATGGCTCTTAGACCCTCCCCTCTTACTGCATGTGTCACCTGATGTGAGTGAAAAGGTCCTTCCTCCTCCAGTGCAAATGCAGAAAAGATCCAGAGTGCACTCAGTCAGGCAATTTTAAAGACATGGCATTTCTAGCTACATATATAGTGGAAAAAGGCTGCTCTCAAACACATGGTAAACCCACAGAGCGTCCACACCTGCACCAGTTCTATCTCCTGGAATCAGATACCCGGTGTCTTCTATGTGGGTGAAGCCATCTTCAATGCCCATTACAAATGTAACAGATGAGTAAAAAGAAAGTATTAGCCTACTCACCAAGGAGCTAGAGAGAACTATGCATTAAATAAATAGAGAAATGAGAATTTTGTTAATATTTTAAAAATCCATTCTTTGTATTTTTTATTCAGTGAGTTCTTTGAACTCACCCAAAGAGGCAACATGGCATCAGGGGTAGAGAAATGGGGTCAGGAGTTTGAGGATCTGGGTTCAAGTTCCAGGTATGAACTATGGGATCCTGAGCAAGTCCCTTAAGCTGTCAGGGCCTCAGACGACTCTCTTGAGCTGTAAGAGGTAGGGCAGGTGTTGAACTGCTTTGGTTGAGGGAGCTTCTTCATTTGGAGCTCTCCCACACCCCCAAAATCAACTCATCTGATCCTCAAAGTATGTATAATACAATATATTAGACAGAAGATGAAGGAGACGATTGCTTTTTTCTTTTAATGGTTTTAAACACTAAGTAGAAACCAAATGCCTCTGAACTTCTCTTTTTGTTTGTATCTTTTTTCTTTCTTTCTTTCTTTCTTTCTTTCTTTCTTTCTTTCTTTCTTTCTTTCTTTCTTTCTTTCTTTCTTTTCTCTCTCTCTCTTTCTTTCTTTCTCTTTCTTTCTTTTTTCTTTTCTCTTTCTTTCTTTCTTTCTTTTCTCTTTCTTTTTTCTTTTCTCTTTCTTTCTTTCTTTCTTTCTTTCTTTCTTTCTTTCTTTCTTTCTTTCTTTTCTCTCTCTCTTTCTTTCTTTTCTCTTTCTTTCTTTCTTTTCTCTCTCTTCTCTTTCTTTTTCTTTCTTTCTTTCTTTCTTTTCTTTCTTTCTTTCTTTCTTTCTTTCTTTCTTTCTTTCTTTCTTTCTTTCTTTCTTTCTTTCTTTCTTCCTTCCTTCCTTCCAGATAATCAGGGTTATATTCACAAAGCTAGTAAGTATCTGAGGTCACATTTGATCTCAAGTGCTCTTAACTTCAGGGCCAGTGCTCCATCCACTGCACCACTTAGGTGCCCCCCTCCCCTGCCTCTGAACTTCTTAACTGGTACTTCATCTTCTCTGTTCCTTGACTTGAGTGTCAGTCAAAAGAATTGGATTTGGAGATAGAATTTGGAACTCAAACCTTAAAAAAAAGTTTAAAAAAATTATTTAAACATGTAATTTGGGAAAAAATAAAATAAACATTTTTTAAAAGTGTCTTATTTTAACATACATTGTTTAGTTAAGGAACATGTCCATTGTATAAAAAAGTCTTCTTTCCAGATTATTTTGAAGTTTTGATTGAATATAGGATAATAATTTCATTCTGGATGTGCTCACCATGAGGGACAGAGAAAAGATGTGGCTTTTTTTCTGGCCCTTCTTCTTCTCCATCCCACAATATGGAATCTTAACTGGTTTCCATGAATGTACATTGGTAGTATTCTTTTCTTAAGACAGGAGTGACATGCCTGCAGTAAGATCACAGACTCTCAGGCCAAGAGCTAGAAGGAATCTTCAAGGCCTTCTATTGAGTCCAACCCTTTATTTTGCCAAGGAAGAAAATGAAGCCTGAGTGGTCAAGTGACCTGCCCAAGGTCACAGGGAGAGTAAAGTGGCCAATACTGGATTCAAATTCAGGTCATTTGACTCCAAATTCAATTCTTTTAGCTGTTTTCTTCATAATGTGACTAATATGGAAATATGTTTTGCATGATTGCACATGTAGGACCTATATCAAATTGCTCACTGTCTTTGGGAGGGAGGTGGGGCAGGAGGGAAGGAGAGTTTGAAACTATAAATTTTTTTAAAAGTTAGAATTATTTTTATGTGCAGTTGGGAAAATATAAAGTATCATTAAGGGAAAAAACCTACATTATGCTTTATAGGCAATTAGATTTGATCTAGAAGGGACCCTTTGAATCATCTAATTCAATTTTATAAGTCAGGAAACTGAGGCACACAGGTCTTGTGTGGTTTTGCACAGGTCTTCTGGATTCCTTTTGTTAGAGATAGTAACTCATCACCTTAATTCTGTGACATTGCTATCATTCTCTAGGGAACAAGTTATCTCAAGATCAACTATTGAGCTCCTCCTCAGTCTCTTCCAACTTTGTCCAGACCAACTTTTATGATGTATTCTAGCTTTCTTAGTCACTCCCAGTTCTGTATAATTGTGACCATTTTTGAGAGAGAATTTATGTAAAGTGCTCTGTAAGCCTTATAAGGCCATGCCAAGGTAAGAGATTGTGTTTATTCCTAAGTCTCCCTTTGGAGTGCTGTTGCTCAAAGGTGTTGATTTATGAATAAGTTGCTCAGCTTCTGTTGGCTATATTAATTAATACGGCAATGATAGTTTCGCAAGATAGTCCTTTTCTTTTAGAAGTGAGGGGAAGGGGCAGCTAGGTGGTGCAATGGATAGCATACTGGCTGTGGATGCAGGAGGATCTGAGTTCAAATCTGGCCTCAGACACATAATACTAGATGTGCGATCCTGTGGGAGTCACTTAACTCCACTGCTTAGCCAAAAAAAAAAACCAACAACAAACCAAACCTATAAAAGTGAAGTGAAACTTCTAGAAGTAGTGGAAGATTTACTAGGCTAACTGATGTCAAATTTCTCCTTAATTAAAATTATAATATATGTTATGGAAAAATAAATTTGGAAAAAAGTATCATTGAGGAGTTACTACTGCTCACCCTATAGTATGGGCATAACTTGGAGATATTGAAGGTTTGATTCTAGACCACTTCAAAAAAGGGAACATTGCAATAAAGCCAGTCACATAAATTTTTTGGTTTCCCAGGGCATATAAAAATTATGTTTACACTGTACTGTAGTCTTTAAGTGTGCAGTTGTATTATGTCTAAAAAAACCGCAATGTGTATTTCTTAATTAAGAAATACTTTGTTGGGGCATCTAGGATAGGGCTCTGGCCTTTGAATCAGGAGGGCCTGAGTTCAAATCTGACCTCATACACTTGATGCTAACTAGCTGTGTGATCCTGGGCAAGTCACTTAACCCCCATTGCCTCACCAAAGAGCAAAAAAAAGCAAAACAAAACAAAACAACTTTATTGCTAAAAAATGCTAACCATCATCTGAACCCTTGGTAAGTCATAGTCTTTTTCCTGGTGAAGGGTCTTGCCTCAATGCTAATGGCTGCTGATTGATCAGGGTGGTGAAGGTTGGGGAGGCTGTGGCAATTTCTTAAAATAATACAATAAAAAAATTTGCTGCATCAATTGACTCTTCATTTCATTTGAACACTTACAGGCCAATGTAGGGTTGTTAATTGACCTAATTTCAATATTGTTGTGTCTCAGTGAATGGGGAAGGCCTGAGGGGAGAGAGAGAGAGAGAGAGAGAGAGAGAGAGAGAGAGAGAGAGAGAGAGAGAGAGAGAGAGAGAGAGAGAGAGATGGGGGACAGCTGGTAGGTAGAGCATCAGAACATACCCAACATTTATTAAATTTGCTCTTACATGGATGTGGTTCATGGCTCCCGGAAACAATTACAATAGTAACATCAAAGATCACTGATCACAGTTCAGCATAACAGATATAATGATAATAAACAAGTTTTAAATATTTTGAGAATTACTGAAATGTGACACAGAGACATAACATGAACACATGCTGTTGGGAAAATGGTGCTAACAGACTTGCTCAATGCAGGGTTGCCACAAACCTTCAAATTGTAAAAAAACAAAAAAACAAAAACCAAAAAAAAAAAAAACCCCAAGACCCAAGACATACAATGTGCAGTAAAGCAAAGCACAATAAAATAAGGTATGCCTGTAAACTCTTCACAAAAATGCTGGAAAAGAAATGAAATAAATAACTTATAAAGATTAATATACACAGTTAATGGGTAAAATAAGAATTAGGGATGATTTCAACTTTGGCCATCCTGCCTTTTAACCAAAACTACTAATACATTTTTAAAAAGACATTTTAAAAAAAATTTTTGTCACCTCATATTCTGTCTACTATTAATAGATTTTTTTGGTAGAGGTGACAATGAGTGGCAAAATAGCCAAAAGGAAGAGAAGAGATCATGAGCATAAAGTAATTCATGGTCCCAACCAACTCTGTTTGCACAATTCTAGACACTAAAATTTAAGAGGCACATTTAGAACTTGGTAGACCAAGATGGTGAAGAGGTTTAGAAACAAGGTCATCAGAGGAATGGTTGTAGAAACAGAATTTTTAGTGGAGTGAAAAGGAGACTAATAATATATGAAAAGTAATATAAAGTGAATGAAAAAGACATAGCTGTCAAATAAATAAGAGTAATTAGATTTATTATATAGCCTTCCATTGGATAAACCAAGGACAGAAGATGTGGATTCAACTCAACATAAGAGATCTTTTTAACAAAGAGCAGGCTCCCTTTGGTGTGATATTGAAGAAAAAAAATTAGTTGGACATTTAAAAAAATCATTTTCTACCTTGATCAAACATTTTTCAGCTTCAAATTTACTGGTGTCTAATTTAAAGGTGGCAGAGCTATGGTTTCATCAGTGTGAGGACCTCCCTGGACAAGTCACAACCTTTCTAGTTTCCTTTCTGTGTGAGGACAGTGTGGCACAGTGGAAAGAATGCTGCATTTATCATCAGAGGACCTTGTCTGATTCCTAATTTTTTTGTTTACTTCCTGTGTGGCAAGGCAAGTCACTTAACCTCTATGGGCTCAGTTTTCTCACCTGTAAAATGAAGGTATTTGGACTAAATGATACCCAAAGTCCCTTCTAAGAAGGTATCAAGATCCCATCACTGAAGAGATTTGAGCCAAAAGCTAAATAATCACCTTGAAAGGTAAGGTTGTACAAAGAATTCCTCTGCTAAGTAGGAGAATGGACAAGAAGGTGCCTTTCTTTCATCGACGAAGTAATTGGGGTTAAGTGACTTGTCCAGGGCCACATAGGTAGTAAGTGTCAAATGTTTGAAGTCAGATTTGAATTCAGGTCCTCCTGACTCCAGGGCTGATGCTTTATCTACTGCACCACCTAGCTGCTCTGAGAAGGTACCTTTCAACTCTGATAGTGATACTATGAAGAATGCATTGGCCTTGAAGAATTAAGGCTTAACCAAATTTGGAATAGTGATCATATTTTTTTCAAACCTCATTGGAAGGTGAAAGCAGAGCTTTCACTATGCATTTTTTTTTCATGCTGCATATGTCAGTATGTCAGGGTCCTATGACATCATCCACGTGGGAATTTCCTTCTCTGATCACAAGCCGTGTAAAGTTAATCATCTTAGACAAATGATGGGGTGAGAGGAATTAAAAGAATTTCCCATGGTCACACAGTTAATAACAGTGGAAGCTGAATCCAGTTCTCTGACTTCAGTCCTTATTACCCAGTCCACAGTACCATGCTGCTGTGGAATGATTCTACTGTGATATTACCATGATGTTACATTATCCAATTTAGACACCCCATTCTAACCACTTGAAAAATATATCATCCCCATTAGTTGTCCCTTGGCACAGCAAACATTCATTGACATTCTTGTTTTTCTTCTAGATCCCAGAGTGGGGGATTGGCCACTCATGTCCTCTCCTCTGCCACAAGCCCTTATCCTTGGACTCTATATCTACTTTGTCACTTCCCTGGGGCCAAAGATCATGGAAAACCGCAAGCCCTTTGACCTCAAGAGATTGATGATTACATATAATTTTTTAATAGTGCTCTTTTCTTTATATATGTGTTATGAGGTAAGTATTTTTAGTCTTTTGTTTTGTTTTTGGCTAGGCAATGGGGTTAAGTGACTTGCCCAGGGTCACACAGCTAGTAAGTGTCAAGTGTCTGAGGTCGGATTCGAACTCAGGTCTTCCTGACTCCAGAGCCAGTGCTCCATCCACTGTGCCACCTAGCTGCCACCTGTTTTTAGTCTTTGTAATGGATTTTGTTATTGTTAGAGAATAATATAAGCATGCTTCACACGCTGTCGCTTTAGTGATTGTTATGATGATGAGGAAAAATGCAGGGATAGATTTTTAGTGACTGAGTTAGCCTGAAAAGGCCTTGCCAGATGTTTCCCTAAAAATCCCCATGAATTGTCTTGAAGACAGTGAATCATTTGGAACAATCTCAGGGCAATTCAGCCCAGAGGCAAAGCGAAAGACTTGTTAATTTATCAATACTGTGTGATTCTTTAATAGCTTTAGAGTAAACAACTACAAGTGAAATTTTAGCTTTAAAATATGGGAACTAATTTTTTTATGAAATATTAAAAATGTTTCACAGAAATATCATGATTAATCAGAATATTCTGGAAGTGGATTGGAGGAGGGGGATCACTGAAGATCAAGTAGAAATTCCTTTATTTTGACATTGAAAACAAAGCTTTCTAATGAGTTACATTTTTCCTTGTCATTTTCATATCCAAAGTGCTTTTTGATGAATTAGATCCTCTTGTAGTTACCACATCCTAGTATTGGTATTTGAAATATTCGTAAAATGCTTTGAAAATCTTAAATCACGATGTAAATGCTAGTTATTATTATTATCATTATTATTATTGCAGCATCCTGTTGCTTCTTGTCAGAGAAGGGCACTGGCATATTCTATTCTAATGATATTGAGTGTATATTTATTGAATTAGGGCCCAGAACTCTGGTGTTTGTCATTTTTGTTTACAGTTAATGTTGCTTTTCTGTTTTATGTGCCTGGATTCAGGGCCTGCATCTTAGAAGACATGTTTAATGTTAAACTTGGGTCAGGAATGAACTGGAGACGTTCTCCAACGTCAGCTAAAGACCAGTTGGACTTTTCTACCCAACTCTAGCCTGAATGTTGCTGTGTCTCAAAGTTTTTTGATCTGCCTTTAAGAGGACAAGTGGGTCCTATGATGTTCAGTCAGTTGTTTTTTCATTCATGTCCAATTCTTTGTGACTCCAGTTGGAGTTTTCTTGGCAAAGATACTGGAGTGGTCTGACATTTCCCTCCCCAGCTCATTTTACAGGCAAAAAACCGAGGCAAATTAAGTTAAATGACTTGCCTAGGGTCACATAACTAGTAAGTGTCTCAGGCCAGATTTGAGCTCAGGAAGATGAGTCTTCCTGATTCCCAGCCCACTGCACCACCTAGAGGCCCATGAGTAGCAACACATAAACAATATAAATATTCTTTGAAAACTTTAAAAGACTATGTAAGTATATGGTAGTGTTGCATACTGTGAGTAGGCTGTGGTGTGTTTTAAATTAATCTGTGTTTCAAGAACTAATTTTTAAAGCTTTGGTCCTTAAAAATCTACTCTAGTCCTGTGAAGCTAAAAGCAGTTTTTGTGGTTCTCAGTTATGAGAAATGTTTTATTAAAATAGTGATTATGTAGTATTTCAGTAATGAAAAAAAATTGTGCTATAGTGAATTTCCAAAATGTTTAGTTGTAATGGAATTCTGCTAAAATGAATACACCCAGATGGCAAGTTTTGAAAATAAAACACAATGATTATGCATCATCTGTGTAGTAAATAAATGCTTATTAATTTAAACTGGAAATGAATTAGTAGACTAATTGCTACTGGACATAGAAAAAAAAAAACAATTCTGTTCTCTTTTCATTTCTAATGCTTGCAACACTAAAACAGCCTGGTAGGATGGAAAGAAAAGTGAATTGAAATCAGAGAACTTGGATGTGTAAATGTGTATTCTGACCGTGCCTCTTATTGCATATGTGATCTTGGGCAAGTCATTTGACTTCATCAGCCTCAGTTCTGTAATCTGCAAAATGGTGGTATTGGTCAAGATGACCACTAAGATAGCTTTCAGCTCCAGATCTGTAACTGACAAGTTTCTTCTTTATAGTGGGTGATATCTGAGGAGAGAATTTCTTACACAGGTACATGGACAGGGACCAGAGAAAGCTCTTGGGACAGGTTCATTTGTTGTGATAGCAGCAGGCGGTTTGTAAGAGGCTGGGACATGGAAGTAGGTAGGTTATGCCATTCTTCTGTATAACGATACTTGTAATGGCAGCTAGCTGGTGCAGTGGATGGAGCCTGGGCCTGAAGTCAGGAATACCTGAGTTCAGATCCAAACTCATACTTAACATAGTAAGTAACAGATTAGCTGTTTTACTATAGGTAAATCACTTAACTCCTGTTTGCTTCACTTTTCTCATCTATAAAATGGGGTTAATGATACCTCCCACCCAGGATTGTTTGTGAGAATCAAATGAGATAGTCCTTATGAAGCATTTCACATGGTGCTTGGCACATAGTAAATACCATAGAAATGTTAGCTATTATTATTAATATTAATGTTAATATTTTACCCATATAGGAAAATGGTTGAATTTGTCAATGGCACCTCAGGAGAAATTGTGACAATCTCTTATCTTCATTACTTATCTTCACTTTCTTCCAGAGATTAAGTGGGGTTTAACCCAGTCATTTGGACTATTCCTCTTCATCCTTCTACTTGCCTCCCCGAGGTTATACCAGCAGTTCTTACTTCTCTTTATGGAATGTGGACAGATGAGCAAGAAACATCAATGATAGCCAAATAGGTAGCTGAATGGTGCTGAGTTAGGGGAGGGATAGTAAGAATATGAGCCTTTATACGGTATCTGGGCAGCTGAAATGTCTGGGTGTGTTAGGGAGTGATTTTCTTGTATATATTCTCCAGGTTTTAAGGTTCTGGTGCAGAACCAAATTTACATTAGTTGATTTTGTTTACTTGCTGTCATGCTGTCTACTAAAAAGTTTGAAACATTCTTGGATTTAATTTAGCCAGGCCCTTTCCCTTGGGCAAGTTAAGTGATTTGCCCAAGACAGTATATGTAATAAGAGGCTTAGTAAGAATATTCATTCAAGTCCTCTGATTTCAATCCAGTTTTCTTTCCACTCTACTGGGCTGGTTCAGTGTTGCAAGCCATTAGAAACAAGAAGAGAACACAATGCCCTTTCCTATTAGCCTGCCTTCTATCCAATTAGCTAAATGATTGAGTTACTCATACACCAGCTTTTTTTCAGAATGAAATGGGTGTTCCTTTTGGCTTGGATGATATGTTGTTTTCTATCCTTGGCAAATAGCTATTTTGAAAGACTCATGTAGGTGTGAAATGAATATATACATACATTACTGTGGCATTCTTAACTAATCAAAAATTAGAGATAAGAAAATGATGAAAGGCAATGAAACCCACCTCAGGTAAAAAGTTGATACCTTTAACAGCTGAAGGATACCTTGCTGGTTATACAGTACATCAGAGAATTTATTACACAAAGTACAGTGTCATTAAGTGTTCAGGATAAATAACCTCATCAAAAATGTGGTAAAGCTACTCTCCTAACTTGGGGGTCAGGAGGGGATGGCACCACTGCTGCTACTTCCATCGCAAGCAGCAGCTGGAAACGTGGTGGGCCAGAGTGGCATGATTGCCACTGGCGTGTGCGGGTCCCTCTTCATCAGCTACTGTATTTATTTTGACCACAAGAGACGGAGTGACCCCAACTTCAAGAACAGGCTCCGAGGGTGAAGAAAGAAACCGAAGCTTGCTAAAGAGAGAGCTGGGCTTTCCAAGTTACCTAACCTTAAAGATGCAGAAGCTGTTCAGCAGTTCTTTCTTGAAGAAAACAGCTCGGTGAGGAATTACTGGCCCAAGGTGGATATGAAAAGGGTGTTGACCACTTGACAAATGCCACTGCTGTCTGTGGGCAGCCACTGCAGTTGCTGCAAGTTTTACAGCAGACTCTTCCATCACCAGTGTTCCAGATGCTTCTGACTAAGCTGCCAACAATTAGCCAGAGAACTGTGAGTGTACAGAGCTTGGCCAAAGATGATGTGGAATGAGAAACACGTTAACATAATAAAATCTTAATAAAAAGATTTAAATAAGTCTTAGCCCAGAAGATGAGCAGCAATGGGGGGAAAGGTAAAACATGCTAATTATGGACTATATATTACACTGAAATCTACCAAAGTGGATTCTAACTTTGTGTAGGTGGGTTTGCTTGGATTTTATTTATTTATATTAGTGAGAAGTGTATTTTGATAAAAAAAATTTCATTTTATAAATACACTGAATTATCTAAATATTACTCATTTCATTTGTTACAAAATGCAGTTGTAAGATACATATGACATGACATTACTACATGTTAAAAAATACACAGTGCTCATTTTTGAAAAATAAAAATTAAGGCAATAAAAAGAATTCTGCACTCCATGTTAGCTAAAGGGTGGATTTGGTTTATCTTAGTAAATTTTGTAGTATAGTAGAAAAAAAATGTGGTGAAGAAATACTATTGTTGACCCAGGGTCAAATAGGGAATGAGATAAAGGAAAGAAACATTTACTCTAAGAGCCTGGCTTAGGATATTATGCCCTCCATATTCTGTGTCTATTCAAAAATCTCTTTAAGAGAACTAGTTACTCAGCACACATTAGTGGCCAAGAAAGAGCCCAGGTTAGAATGTAAAAGTCGAAAATTTCATGTACTCTCTCATATTCAATATAGTGTTTATTTTCTGTAGAATAAGATAATTATAGGCTCAGAACTTTTTGGCCACAGCAACTCATGAAAACAATTTAGTAAGGTCAAAATCAGAGGTCCTTAAAGTATGAATTGATGAAAGGTATTTGTTAAATACATATGATATACCAGGTACCATGCTAGGTGCTAGAAATACAAATAAGAAAGTGATAGTCTTTGCCCTTGAGGAGTTTATATTCTAATATGGAAGACAACACAGGTAGAGGAATGGTGTCCAGGGAAGAAAGTTTTTTGGGGAATTCTCTAGAAAGATAGCTGAGTCAGTTAGTTAGTAAACATTTATAAAATTCCTACTACATGTCAGGCATTATACTAAGCACTGAGGATACAAAGAAAGGTAAAAGAGAGTCCTTTTGCTTTTGAGAAGCTCATGATCTAGTGGGGGACACAACATGCAAGCAACTACGTACAAAGAAGCTATATACAGGATAAATTGGAAATCATTAAGGCAGTAGAATTTAAAGGAGTTGGGGAAGATGTCTAGTAGAAGGTAGGGTTTTAACTTGGCCTTAAAAGAATCCAGGAGGTGGAGGTAAGGAGGGAGAGGATTCTAGGCATGGAGGACAGCCAGAGAAAATGTATGGAATCTGGAGATGGAGTATCTTGTTCGAAGAACATTAAAGGGGTCAGTGTCACGGCAGTGTAAGGTATAAGGAGGTGAGTAAAATAGAGAAATGCTGGGAAGATAGGAAGGGGCCAGGTTTGAAGGGCTTTAAAAGCCAAACAGAAGATTTTATATTTCAGAGATGATAGGGAGCCACTGGAGTTTATTGCATGAGGGGCAGGGGTGATATGGTCACACTTGTGCTTTAGAAAGATCACAAATAACTAGCAGGCAATAGATTGGATATGAGTGTGTGTGTGTGTGTGTGTGTGTGTGTGTGTGTGTGTGTGTAAGACTCAAGATTCAAGCATAACACATAGGGTGTGAGCCTGGATGACTGGGAGGATGCTGCTGCCCTCAAGAGTAATAGGGAAGTTTGGAAGAAGAGGGTTTTTTTGGAAAAGATAATTTGTTCACCTTTGAATATATTGAGCTTAAGATGTTTACATGACATCCAATTCAAGATGTTTAATAGGCAGTTGGAGATCCAAGACTGAGGTCAGTAAAAAATTTAGGGCTAAATAGGTAGATTTGAGAATCATTAGCATGGAGACAAGATCAGATGTGAAATATGATAGAGGAAGAAGAGAAGAAGCAGCAGCATAGAGGCCTTTCCTGAGGTTAACAATGTGATCTGGCTGAAGATCCAGCAAAGGAGATTGAAGAGTGGTCAGATAGGTAGGAGGAGAACCAGGAGAGAGAAGTGCCATAGAAACTTAGAGAGAAGAAAATATAAAGAAGAAAAGAGTGTTTGACAGTGTCAAAGCCTCCAGAGAGTTCAAGAAGAATGAGGATTGAGAAAAGATAAAACAATTTGACCATTAAGAGATCCTTAGTAACTTCAGAGAGAGCTGTTTTGGTTGAATGATAAGATTGAAAGCCAGACTGTAGGTAGAGCATTGAGAGTGAGAGGAGATGAAGTGGAGACACCTGTTGTAGATAGTCTTTTCAAGGAGGTTAGCCATAAAATGCAGGACTAAAATGGGATTTTTTATATAGTTAGTGGGGATAGATAGATCAAGTAAGGTTTTTTTTGAGGATGGGGGAGATGTGATCATATTTATAGGCATTAGGGAATGAAGATAAGAGAGAGTGGGGAAGAGAGAGGAGGCAATCCTTTTAAGGCATACTGTAATGCTATCCTCTGGGCATGTAGAGGGGTAATATAGGTCCTACCTGCCTGATGGCAGGGTAGATGAGATGTGAAGCAGGGTCTGGAGCCAAATAGATATAGCAGTTTAGATGTGTGCTCATGATCATTCCAAAGCTGAATGGATTACCTTCCCCTGGAAGGGAGTCATGGTATTTGGAGGGTTACTCCATAGCCCAGAGGATCTCTGTTCCAGTAGGGAGAAAGAGGGTCCAGCTGCAGAGCAGATGGCAAGATACCTTGTAATGAGAAGAATCTGACAGATTAATTATTTATTGATAATTATTAATTAATTAATCATTACAGTTTAGAACTCAAGAGTACACAGCAAAACTTTAACCATGAGATGGACTATATCTTTGTGTAAAGGAAAGCACTAACAAAAAAGTTCCCAAGAATTAGCATATTTATCTTTTCCCTAGAGGAATCAGTCATGTCTCTTTCTATATGTCTCAGTCCTGTGGGGCATTCTGAAATTTTCCTAGCTAGCTTAGATAAAGGAGTCCCACCCTGACAATGTATTTATACATGTGTTTTCATTGAGGCAATGAAGCAGTATGTACCCTGTCTCAGACACATACTAAATGTGACAATGAGAAAATAATCACAACCTCTCAATGCTCTGAAGCAACTCTCTAAGAATCTAAATTACAGATAAATTGTCAATCCACATGAATAGAAGGAGTTCTACATTGTTCTCTCTGCAATTGAAATCACATGTATGTCTCCCTTCCTGCAGTCTTTGTGCATGGATACATTATATGTTTGTATCTATGGAACTATGCTTTCTTTATAATCATTCTATTCTATTAATTACATGTCTAAGAATGTGTCATGTCTAGGTAAATAAAGCGATTAAATAGTGAGTGCGTGCCTGTTAGGTATATTGACTATGTTGGTTGCTTTCACTTAACTGTTTTTCTTTGTTATGAAAGAAGGTTCTTCTGCTGCTAGTGGGGTAGGTTGGGGCAGGAGAGTCTATTTGAAAATAACTATGTTGTAAAAACAAAAGGTACCACTAAAATGAATTTTAAAAAACAAGTGTATGAGCCAAGTCAGGTGCTGGTATTTTTTTAAGATGAATTTTTAACGGCCCAGCTTTCGTGATATTTCATACTCTACTTTTTTCTTCCTGAAATATCTCTATATGGCCTTGAAAAATCATATTTTCAAGTTAAAAATGACATAGTTACATTTTTAACTTTATAGACCATTTGCAAAAGTTTAAGTAGGTACCACCACATGATGAAATAGGCACCACCACATGATGAAATAAGTTTTTAATTTAAAAAATTTTGCTTTAGGTTTATCAAATTATAAAAGTTAAGGCTGAGGTACACTGGAAGACAATGACATCACTGCAATGCTCAGTGAAAAGTTCTAAGAAAGATGAAATGTGGGATGTGGGCAATTGTGCAAATAGACTATTGTCAACCACTTAGAATGTCTGTTAAAACTAATTAAAGTAATTAAAATAAATAGGACCCTTGGCTATTCACTTTAAAATACTGTTTTAATAGTAAACTTGCCCACAATCAGACTTGGAAGAATGTTGTCACAGTATTTGGATTCAATTTCAAGCTATCATCTTCAACAAACAGTTCATTCTTTTCTTTACTGGCCTAAAGCCATTTTGTGGGTGTGTTGGAATTAAAGTCTACCAGATTGCAAAGTTGTTACTGACTTATTAACATGAAAATTTTCTTTTTTTGATGACTTTTCATCCAAAGCCATAGAGAAGAAGATCTAGTTTCCCTTATCTTTTTTTTTAATGTTACTTTGCCCATTTCCTTGAATTTTCATTTAAGAAAAAATAGTGTCATTGTGATCTATGACTGGAAGTTGAACCCTGAGGAAAAGGCAAATAAAAACCCAGTTATTATGTTGTCCTAGAAATTACCTTAAGGTAATGTTTTGACTTGATTATTTGCTAATTTCAGAAGTCAAAATATTGATTATTGTTAGATATAAGAGAAAATTTCATCATCTGGCAATCATCTACATAACATGCAGTTTAGATAAACTTTGCCTCACTTTTCTTCTCCCTCTCCTTTCAGTGGGGTACACTATGTTGGGATAACTGTCCAAAGAAAGTTGTTTTATTCAGAACAATATTTACATGAACAACAAAGTGAATTTCAATGTGATTTGTAGTTGGTCACCATTTTAGTTAACCTTTTTCTTTTACTGCTGAGATTTCTCATTTAGGTACTCTTATGAGAAATGTATGGAGAAAATCCAGTTGAAATCCTTAGGTGCGCCTGCTAAGTAAATATTGCCTTAATTTTTTTTTCTGTTTTTTTTTTCTCTCTCTTTACTTGTAGTTCATAATGTCTGGCTGGGGTGTAGGCTATTCATACCGGTGTGATATTGTTGACTATTCCAGATCTCCTATAGCTCTAAGGGTAAGTTGTTGTTTAGTAATTTTTCAGTTGTGTCCAACTCTTCATGACTCTGTTTGGGGTGTTCTTGGCACAGATACTGGAGTGGTTTGACATTTCCATCTCCAGGTCATTTTCCAGATGAGAAAACTGAGGCAAACAGGGCTAAATGACTTGCCCAGAGTCACACAGCTAGTAAGTGTCTGAGGCTAGATTTGAGCTCAGGAAAAAGAGTCTTTTTGACTCCTGGACTGACACTTTATCCATTGCACCACCTAACTTCTCTCAAGGGTAACTAGTAACTATTACAGCTGGACAAATTAGGAGGATGTTTTTAAAGCTGATTTTTGAGTCACATTTAATCTGCTCTAGATTCAAAATCAGTAGCAAGGAGGAGCCAAGATGGTGGAGAAAAGGCAGGGACTCACCTGAACTCTCCAAAATTACCTTCCAAATACATTTAAAATAATGCCTCAAAACAAATTCTGGAGCTGCAGAACCCAAAAAAGGATGGGGATAAAACAATTTTCCAGCCTAAGAACCAGATATGGAAATTGAAAGAATCACTGATCATCTCCCAAAAAAGATCCCCAAATGAAAATTCCCAGGAATATTGTAGCCAAATTTCAGAGCTTCCAAGTCAAGGAGAAAATTTTGCAAGCAGCCAGAAAGAAACAATTCAAATATCATGGAGCCCCATTCAGGATATCACAAAATTTAGCAGTTAATATATTAAAGGATTGGAAGGCTTGGAATATGATATTCTGGAAGGCAAAGGAGCTAGGATTACAACCAAGAATTACCTGCTCAGCAAAACTGAGTATAATCCTTCATGGGGGAAAAATAGATATTCAATGAAATAGAGAACTTGCAAGCATTTCTGATAAAAAAGACCAGAGCTGAATAAAAATTTGACTTTCAAGTACAACACTCCAGAGAAGCATAAAAAGATAAACAGAAAAGAGAAATCATAAGGGTTTCAATAAAGCTAAACAGTCTACTTTCCTGCATAGGAAAACAATACTTGTAACTCCTAAAAATTTTAGGGCAGTTAAGAGTATACATAGAGGGTACAGATGTGAGTTGAATATGATAGGATGGTTTATGTAAAAAAATAAAATTAAGAGGTAAGAAAGTGAAATGCATTGGGAGAAAGGAAAAGGGAACCATAGAATAGGATGAATTATCTTACATAATAGAAGCATGAAAGAACTTTTACAGTGGAAGCAAAGATGGGAAAGGTGGTGGGGAGTGAGTGAGTGAACCTTACTCTCATTAGAATTGGCTCAAAGAGGTAATGATATACATACTCAGTTGGATATAGAAACCTATCTTATCCTACAGGAAAGTAGTAGGGGAAAAGAATAAGAAAGGGAATGGTAATAGAATGGAGGGTGTATTGAGGTAGGTAAAATATGGAAGCAAAACGCTTTTGAGGTTTGGACATGGTGTAACGAGAGAGAGAGAGAGAGAAGGATAAATAGGGGGGAAATAGAATGAAGGCAAATACACAGTAATTACAACTGAAAAAAATTTACAGGAAGTTTCTCTGATAAAGATTTCATTTCTCAAATACATAGAGAACTGAGTCAAATTTATAAAAAAAACAAGAGCAGTTCCTCATCAAAGCTATCTATAACCATATTAAAATACTGTAAATCACCATAGATTAAAGAAATGCAAATTAAAACAACACTGAGCTACCACATCACACCTATCAAATTGGCTAATATGACAGAAAAGGAAAATGACAAATGTTGGAGTGGATGTAGGAAAATTGAGACATTAATGTACTGTTGGTGAGGTTGTATATTGATTCAACCATTGTGTAGGGCAATTTGGAACTATGCCCAAAAGGCTATAAAATCATGCATACTGTTTGACCAAGCAATACCACTACTACTCTGTATCCAAAAGAAATTTTAAAAAAGGAAAAGGATCTTTATGTACAAAAATATTGATAGCAGCTCTTTTAATGGTGGCAAAGAATGTTCATCAATTGGGGAATGGCTGAACAAGTTGTACATGATCATGATGGAATACTATAAGAAACGATGAGCAGGATGCTCTCAGAAAAACCTGGAAAAACTTACTTGAACTGATGCAAAGTGAAATGAGCAGAACCAGGAGAACATTGTACACAGCAACAGTAATTTTGTAAGATGATCAATTGTGAATGACTTAGCTATTCTCAGCAATAAAATGATCCAAGAGAATTCTGAAGGACTTGTGATGAAAAATGCTATCTGTCTCCAGAGAAAGAACTGATAGAGTCTGAATGCAGATCAAAGCATATTTTTTCTTTACTTTCTTTATTTTTCTTGGTTGTTTGTTGTAGTTGTTGTTTGGTTCTGTATTTTCTTTCACAATATGACTAATGTGGAAATACGTTTGCATGTCTGCACATGTATAGCCTATATCAAATTGCTTGCCTTCTCAATAAGGTAGGGAGGGAGAGAATTTGGAGCTCAAAATTTTTTTAAATGTTAAAAATTGTTTTTACATGTAATTGGGGAAAAATAAAATACTAAATCAAGAAAAAAAACCAGTTTTAAAAACATCCTTCTGATTGTCCAGCTGTAACAGTTATGAGTTACGATGTCTTAAACTGAAAATTGATGATGAATGAATGAATTCAGATTTGAGGCTGAAAGGCTTGGGAGAACTTAAAAAAATTTCCTATGCGAAAATCAGAGAAAATCAAGTGCATTTCCCTTTTCTTTCATTCTCTTTTCTTTCTGGTGGGATAGAAAGTGTTGGTATCATTATTTGTAGTCTTTAATAAAAATTCCTTGTTCTCCTGTATATGTTTCTGCAGATGGCATGGACCTGCTGGCTTTATTACTTCTCCAAGTTCATTGAGCTATTAGACACTGTAAGTCATCCAGTTAAGTAAATATTTGATTTCTTTCCATGGAAATCATAGACGAGAAGAAAGTTAATACAGTATTGTTTTGGTGCCTCATTCCCTTCCTCACTAGCCAGACTTTGTATCTTTGATTAGCCTCATTATCTCTCATTTATTCAAGAGAATGCATGGGGGAAGATAATTCAATTTTCAAAGTGTTCCCCAAACTTAAAAAAGATCTCCCTACACATTAAATCATGCCAAGTCATTAAGTAATATACATGTGTGTGTGTATATATATATATATATATATATATATAAACACAACTCTCTCATAATCCATATAACACCTCTCCTTTATTCCACTAATTTGAATCCCACACAACTGTCTCAAAACCCTTAAAATAGCTCTTCATTATTTTCAGTCTTATGATCAAGTTTAGGACGTGAACAAAACTATTCTAGGCTCTTTATAGTTTAGATTTAGCAAGGACTATTGTTATTTGACCAAAATTGTTGCCATCAGAGCACAAAAGACCTTCACTCTATAAAGCACTATAAACTAGTGCTAAACTGTACCTAAAGAGCCTATCTTTAAAACAAAAACAAACAAACAAACCTGTCACAGATACATAGAGAGAATCATCCCAATACTCTATTTCATACTAAAGTCCATGCCTACCTATTAGGTCTCCTTTTCATCTTGCTTGTGGGCATGCTAAGTGCTTACAAACTTTGGCATCAGGATATTTGGAAATGCTTGTACCAAGAATTCCATTCCTCTCAATTCTACTGATCCCATTTGAAGAAGCCATGTGTGTTTTTCTTTTTCTTCTATGGAAGTTGGGACAAAAGAACCACTCCATTCTCTGTTGCTTCTAACTCTAGTTAAGACTTGTATGAGAACTTCAAGCCCCAAGTCTTTTAAATTTATGCAACTATGTCCTGTGTTTCAGATCTTCCCCTCACCTATTTCTCTATTTCACTATTCAGAGGATGTTAGAGATGGTAGGGATATTAAATATGCTTTAGTCTAATTCCTTCATTTTCCATGTGACACAGCTGAGTCTCGGAGAGATAAAATGACTTGTCCAAAGTCACACAGTGAATGAGTTCTTGGTAGAGGCAGGCCTAGGACCAGAATCCTCTTGACTCCCACCCAGTTCAATTCTCATCCCACTGAACCATGTCGCTTCCTTACATTTTTGTAAGCATATGTATCTTGGCTTTGTTACTATTTTGCATGTTCTTGGTTCTACTCAGAATGCTATGCCCTTACCTCCCAATAATCCTATTTCTTGCCCTTCTTGCTACATATTATTGTTCTTTTGAGTTGCCCTCTTCTTAGCTAGCTTATTCCTCTGTAATTCTGGGCTTTGTTTACACTCTTCCTCTTAAGTTTCCTAATAATTTTTCTTTCGTATTTTCTCTGCAAACCAATCCTCAGATTCCATTTTATATTGCCTTGAATTGTCCATGTTTCCCAAGCTACTTCTACTTTGCTTTCCCAAGTTAACTCTTTGGAGGTTGTATTTAAAAAAAAACCCTATTATTATGCATTTATGCATTTTTTGATGATTACCAATTGTTTTTTTAACCTTCTCTCTTATTTGCTAGAGTCTGGATTTATTTAAATTAGAGAAAATACAGAATGTTTTTAATCCCAAGAATTAGGGCTAGTCTATTCCTGTCATTATTTCTTTCTTCAAAATTGCCTGGAAAAATCGCTCTGATTACTTTTATTTTTTCCTGCTTCTTCCTCCACCCTGCCTATTTGACCAATTCATTCCACTCCTACTTCCCCTTCCCTGTCCCTCTAACACTTTAATTTCTCTTGAATTATCTAACTCTTCATAATCAGATAAAGGGGAAATAGCCTCTTTTGTGCTTTCCTTTGTGAAACCATCTTGTTTTGTAAACATTTAAAGCAAATTGTGTTTGTGTATTGACTAAACTTATTTCATACTTCCCTTGTGTTTGTGTATACTAAATGAATATCGCATGTATTTTAAATGTGAACTTGATTTTCTTTAAATTATTTCAGATCTTTTTTGTTCTGCGTAAGAAAAATAGCCAAGTTACTTTCCTGCATGTCTTCCATCACACCATCATGCCATGGACCTGGTGGTTTGGAGTCAAATTTGCTGCAGGTAGTTGAGGGAGAATTGGGATCATGTGTTATAATAATAATAAAATTTCCATATGTTATAAAACAGCAATAATGATAATAGCATTTCCATAGCACTTTAAGATTTTCAAAGTGCCTTTAAAAATATTATCTCATTTGATCCTTAAAACAACCCTAGAAAGTAGGTGCTAATATTATCCTTACTTTACAGATGAGAAAACTGAGGCAGACAGAGGTCTTGTAGAGTTATACATTATAAATTGTCACTAAAATGAAAAAAAAAATTAACAAATTCCCTGAAAGGTCAGAGAAGACACTCAAATGAAATTCCTGAATTCATATGTGGGGATCTTACATAGCTTTTTCTGTTTTGCCTATTTATTCTTCCCTGGTCCAAAATACCAGATATTTAAGGCTCTTTGGCACATTCTTCCATATGTATTCTTTAGTTGAGAATACTTTGGGTCCTCTTTTTTCAAGTGTCATTTGCTCTGTTCCCAATATGTACATTGCTTAATAGTGGAATGCAAGTGCTCCACTCATAGGGATTTTGTTAAATAATTGAGAGGCAGAAGTACATGGTGGAGAGTAAGCCAGTTCTGATCCCTGAAGACATGGATTTAAGTCCTTCCTATAACACATTCAGACTGTATGACCTTGAGCAAGTTGCTTAACTTCTCCATATTGTAAGCAACCCTCTGAGACTATAAGTTGCAGACAAAGTGTCAACCTCCACTGGTAAGAGCTTTTCTTCATTTGGGAATTCCCTATTCTGGAAATTTTTTGTTGTTGTTCAGTTGTTTTTAGTCACTTCCTACTCTTCATGACCCCAGTTGGGATGTTTTTTGGTAAAGATAGTGGAATGGTTTGCCATTTCCTTCTTCAGCTCATTTGACAGATGAGGAACTGAAGCAAACAGGGTTAAGTGACTTGTCGCAGGGTCACACAGCTAGGAAATGTCTGAGCCTAGATTTAAACTCAGGTCTTCCTGACTCCAGGCCAGGTGCTCTATCCACTTTACCACCTAACTGCCCCTCCTATACTGGGAAGTTAATGGCAATTTCAGTGCTCAATATACATTACCTGTGTCTAGATTTCTTCCTATCAACCTTTATTAAACATATTCAGTAATGTTCCCATTAAAGGATCTGTCCAAAAATCTACTTGGATTCTTGTGCTACTTATAGTACTGAAGGATCTTCTGAACACGTACTTAAAAGAAGTTTGTTTTTCTTTTAAATTGGAAGTGAGTGGTGTTTTGGTTTAGTTCTTTTGAATTCACATAATTGATGAACTATGGAATTAATTTGTCTTGTAAGTTACTTACAAATAATGGTCTTTATGTCTTTTCCAACTCCTAGATTAATTGCCTAAACTTACTTTAAGAGGAAGGCAGCAGGTATAGTGGGAAGAATACTCCCTGATTCTGGAGTCAGAAGACATGGATTAAATTTCACCTCTGATGATTATAACTTATATAACCTTGGGAAAGTCATTTAACCTCTGGGGCTCAGTTTCCTGATCTATGAAATGAGAGGGTTGGATTAGATGGCCCCTGAGGTCTAGACCTATGATCCTTCTAATTCCTATGACTGAGATACCTCCCAGTATAGGAATTTTCTATCAATAGAAATCTCAAATAGCTTATGACTGAGTAGATAAAAGTCCTAAGGAGTTGCATGTTATTATGCTTAATAAATATTTATTGAGTGAATGTATTGTATATAATATGTCTTGAATAGTTTGTATTAAATTATACTTTGGGCACACAAAGAGAACTTTCAGAGAATTTACCCTTTTCCTGATATAGAAATCAATTTCCACTGAGAGATCTCCTTTTTTTCTTTTTTAAAAGAATCTTTCATCCAAGGACTCAAACAGTACAATCCAGGTTCTACTGCCATGTTAAATTTATAATGTACTTAAAAAAACATGCAGTATATATAACAGAGACTTATGTACAATCCTCTTTTTCTGATCTTTGCACATTGAAAGTTTGTGTGCCTAGGTGTTCATCAAGTTCACAATGAAAAAAAGAAAATAAAACTTAAAAAACTGAGTCTTTCTTCTCAAAGTACAAGATTTTTTAGGATAGTTCTTATGTCTGTTCCTCAAGTTTAAGAAATCTTCAGGCTGCTGTAATGAAGCTTTTTTTTTTCATATAGTGACATGATTGCAACCTAGTTTTAGAGATTAAAGAGAAAACTTTTAGTAGATTCCAGATCCAAGTGCATGGAACTCACAACATAGGGAAAATCCTGTGGTTCATGGGGTAAGAGGACTAGGAAGAAAAACGCAGAAGGAGGAAAATCCCCGAATTGGCAGAGTACTCCTGTGACTTCAAACTTGCTTTTGAGTTCCCTGCATACCAGGAGACATGTCAGTAATTGAAATTCCTCAAGTTGGCAGTTCTCCAGGGAGAATTTTTCCAGAGGAAGCAGATCTGATTTTATAACCTAGTTCACAAAATAGAATTCAGGTTATAGTCAGATTTCTCAACTCAGATTTCTCTATCTATTTCATTTCACTTCAATTTAAGAAATGTTTATTAAGTACCTGCCATTTGCAACACAGTGTGCTAGACCCAGACAAAGAGAGAAACCAAAGCAAATGAGAGCAGGTACCTTTTTGAGGCATTTATAGTCTAAAAGGGGAGAGAGAGAGAGAATGTATTTGCAAATAACTGTTATATAAGGTGCAATGTACAAATGCAATCATAAGGAATACACAAGCAATCTTTGTTAGAAATTCATAAGAAGGAGAGATCACTGCTTACTGTGCTACCTTTTCCTGCCCTGTCTTGTTTCTATTTACTGTTAAAGGTTTGAAAAATATTTTTACTGAGTTCTAAGTCATCTTTACAGCTTCTTTGTCAGTCATATGACAAAAGTTATTGACCTTTTGCGGGCTAAAAGTCTGTAGTGCAGTGCCTTAATAAGTACATGATAGCTTTCCAATAAATATTAAATCAAATCCCATAAAGCACTCAGCCTTTTTAAGAAGAATACTGTGTAGTCTTGGCCATTAACAATATTTTACAAGAGGCTTTCAAGGCCATAAAGTAAAGAACAGCCATATGTCTGAATCCTTAACATGAGATTAAGTTACTTAAACCTACTCTTGTTTTATGTTCTTTTACATCCATATTTATAAAAATGTATTTGTTGTTGTCATTGTTCAGTCATTTCAGTCATGTCCAACTCTTCATGAACCCAATTTGGGGTTTTCTGGGCAAAGGTACTAGAGTGATTTGCCTTTTTCTTCTGCAGCTCATTTTATAGATGAGGAAACTGAGGCAAACAGGGTTTAGTGACTTGCCCAGGGTCACACAGCTACTAAGCGTCTGAGGCCAGATTTGAACTCATGAAAATGAGTTTTCCTGACTATAGGCACAGTGCTCTATCCACTGCATCACCTAGTTGCCCTAGCTCTTGATTTACTATGCAGATAATTCAAGTTAACACATTACAAAAGGGGGGCAGCTAGGTGGCGCAGTGGATAGAGCACCGGCCCTGAAGTCAGGATGGACCTAAGTTCAAATCTGGCCTCAGACCAAACACTTGACACTTACTAGCTTTGTGACCCTGGGCAAGTCCTAATTGCCTAAAACAATTTAAAAAAAATTCAAAATTTCGACACGTTACAACAACAAAAGAAATAAGGAGACTTGAGAATTACTTTATATCCCACTTTGTGCCTGTTGACTCTCCAAATCTTGATCCTTATTGCTTCCGAGAAAGTGATTCATAAGAATGCTGAGAAACAGAAGCTGCTGAAGCAGAAGCTCACATCATAGAGTTAAGGCTAGAAAGAACCTTAGAGACCATTTATTTTAATTTTCTAAATACAGAAGTTTTGTTGACATAATACAATGTATTCTGGAATCCCTTAAACCAGTGGCCTCTCTTTGGAAAGTTTCTATCACACAAATTTATCCTTTGCATTCGTGTACGTTTGAAACAGCTAGATGGTGGTGCAGTGGATAGATCACTAGGCCTGAAGTCAGGAAGACCTGAGTTCAAATCGGATACTTATCAGCTAAGTGACATTGAGCAAGTCACTTGACCTCTGTCTACCTCAATTGCCTCATCTGCAAAATGGGGATATAATGACAGCACCTAGTCCCTTCCCCCAGGATAATATGAGCTAATATTTGTAAAACACTTTGCAAACCTCACAGCACTATATGAATGCTGATCATTATTATTTCCTTGGCTTCTTTGTTTGGTCTTCCATGTACAGTTTCTTTCTTTTTTTTTTTTCATGTAGAGTTTATTGAAATACTTTGTGCGTGGTATGTCTATTCAGTGCCATTCAAGGCAGCAGTACTTTTAGAAGTAATTCCAACACATAGGCCTACTCTTTCTTACCTGGAATGAAATTGTCAAACCTGGAATACATTTTTAATTTTTAATACATTCCAGCCCAGCTAATATTTACCTAGTATTTAATTCCCTGGCTGGCTGCTGAACTTCCTTCTGCAAAAGCATTAGCATGGTTCTCCACCTTGTGTTTTCTTTCATTTAAATGGGTGTATGCTTAGCAGATATCTGCAGATAATTTTGACATTGACTCTGTATGTATCCAAGTCAAGAGAAGGAGAGTGGCAAGAGTTGCCCAACTCTCCAGGTGATAGAACATTATGTATTGTGTGTTTACAAAGTTTAATTCATTTGAAGATTCAAATACTTTGGGGGACCTGTTATCAGAGAAAGGAAAACAATTTCAGAGAAAAATAATCTTTATCAGGAAAACCTTGCAAAAGCAGGTATAGCAGGCTTATATCTAAATCATCAAAGTGTCCTAACTTAAAGTTCTCCAGAAAAGTATTGCTTGCTATCCTGTTATATTTGCATAAGTTTATTTTCCAGAAGGTTGCACAAAATGTGAATAATAAAAGCTAAAAAAATTATAATAGTAAGGGTTCCAAATATGATAAAATCTCATTTTAGGTATCTATAAACAGACACATTAAAATATTTTAAAAAGAATATTATCATGATGAGAGAATTAGCCATTTACCCTGATACTGTGTTTATTAGGTTCTGACTTGCTATGTCATTGATACTAGGATCTGTACTCTAGAACTCTTTCCTTCGTGAGAGTAACAGAAATTCACGATATATAGGTAGAGTTATAATGATGGCCCCATGCTAATGGCCAAGGAAATATATTCCCATCATAGAATCATGAAGCTCAAATGAACATCTAGAGTATGTTAACTATGAAAGAGCCTTTGTGAACTAAGACATAAATCATCAAAAATGGATTAAGTGTCTTAAAGCTCTACAGAAAAAAAATTGCTGCTATCCTGATATATCTGTTTAAACTTATTTTTCGTAAGGTTAAGCAAAATGTGAATAATAAAAGCTAAAAATTATAATAATAAGGGTTCCATATGTAATAAAACTTCATTAATTCTGACTCCAGTGGGGAATCTGGGGAGACAGGGACTAGCCAAAATTGAATTTGACCATGCTTATAAAGAAAGAGTTTGCTAAAGCAAATAGTATCAACAAGATTAAAGGAGGAAAATGCAATTGCTTGAGAGAATAAATTATTTTAGGCACCTCCTGAGGGCTTTGTGAGCATGTGTTTACATATAATTATTATGCTGATTATGAATCTTATATATTCATCTGATCTCTATGAAACATCATTTTGTTAATCCAGTTGGACTTCTTGTATATATTTAGAAGTCTATTTTCTGTGTTGATTATTAAACTGCTGTGTTAAAAAACCAGTTGGAACAATATGGTAAATACAGTTTTGGATTTGGACTTAGATTAAAATCCCATGTTTGGTACTGGTTTGCTATGTGACCTTGGGCAAGTCACCTAACCAATCGATGCCCAGAGAATTCCCCAGGACTGATTTCCTAAGTCATAGGCAGTTGATAGAGGGCATCCTGACACTAAGTGTCCTTCCGAGCTATCAGATATAAGACAAAAGTCTTATTCCACCCTTAAAGGGTACCCTGGGACCTTGAGGGCTATTTCACACAGTCTGATAGTTCCTACCAAGCTTTTGGAAGGTCTTTAGGTATAAATCTGCCATCTGTGTTCTAAGCTGCAAGAGGTTTTCCAACAGGTGTTAACATTTTGTGGCCACTGAAATTCATGAAGATAATAGAATCTTTCTCCTGAACTTCATCTGGGTGTCTCATTAGCATATCAGACTCAGTATGTCTAATGCGAAACTTATTGTCTTCTCCCATCAACCTTTTCCTCCATCACATTTTCCTGTTTCTAATGAATGAATTATCATCCTTCTACTCTCAGATTTGCAGCCTTGGAATCATCCTTAATTCTTTCCTTTCACCACCCAAATCCAATCAATTACCAACTCTCACAGATGGTACTTCTACAACATTTCTGAAATTGCTTCAGGCACTTATTGTCTCTCGCCTTGACTATTGCAAAAATAATGTGGATTGGCCTCCTGCTTCCAATCTTTACCCTATTCAATTAGTCTTCCATGAAGTTCCCAAAATAACCACTCTAAGGTATAAGTCTGACCACAGTACACCTTTGTTTAAAAAATCTTTAGGGGCACTCTATTGCCTCTGAAATAAAATACAAACTCCTTAGCCTAGCATTTAAGGCCCAATTTCCAGCCTTATTTCACTTAAGTCCCTCTCAGGCACTCTACTCATTCAAACTGGCTTCCCTGAAATTTCCAGAATTCAGAATTCCATTTCCCAGCCTCTTTGCTTTGTATAATCCATTCCCCATGCCTGGCTTGTATTCATTCCCTTCTCACCTCTGCATCTTAGAACAGGACATCTTAACTAGGGTCCATGAACTTGTTTTTAAAAGTATTTTGACAACTATTTCAATATAATATTGCGCATTACATTTTATCCATTTAAAAACATTTGTCTGAGAAGGTAAGACTTCCCCAGACTCAAACGAGTCCATGATACAAAAATGGTTGATAAACCTTGTCTTAGGATTTTTCATTTCCTTCAAGGCTCTGATCAGGTACCACCTATTACTGGAAGCCTTATCTGATTTCCCCCAATTTTTAGCACTCCTTCCTCAAATATCATGTAGTTGTTTATCTGTTTACTATTCGTCTCCCCCATTGGAAAGTAAGCTCCTTGGGGGCAGAGACTTTTTTTTTTTGGTTTTGGTTTTGTCTTTGCACCTCTAGAACATAACTCAATGTCTTACATATAGGAGCTACTAAAACAACAACATTATTGGACAAATAACCCAATTGGTGAAAGTACAGATCTTTGAATTGTTAGAAGACATAAAGCATTATTTTCTTTTAAAATTTTATAATTTTAATTTTTTTCTAGTTCAAATTGGATTTCTCCAGTAATTAGTCTTAAACTTTTGAGGATTTTTTATATTAATGAGTTAAAAAAGCATTTTTCTTTGGAAAAAGCAAAATGCTTTTATTAATATATTTTAAAACAACAAAACTGTTATCTTCTCTCATAACCAAGAAAAATATATTACCTGTTGTCATGCCCTTGGTGGAAGGAGAAGCCTTTTTTAAGGTTTGCCTATCAGTGCTACGAGTTATTGTGTTACTTTGAAAATATTTTTGAAAAGTATTGTGGGTAGAACAAATAAATTTTAAAAGGAATGTTCTGATATATAACAATTCTAAATAGAATTCATCTTGTATTTGAAGTGAACAGCCATTTAAAGTAAGAGTCATTTTACACCTCATATAAATAAGTTGTATTTGCTAAAGTTGTCAAGGATTTTGCCAGTCTTGAGAATTGTTCATCTTTTTTTTTCTAATTTGTTAAGTCTGTTGATTCAGCAAATTTGAGTTCTCATATGACATTTTCTTCCAATTAAAAATCAAGGAATAATGACATTGAAAATCTTCAGTCATATAAATCCATCTCTTGTACAACCAATGACAATGCTATGTTTTGCAGGTGGCTTGGGAACATTCCATGCCTTGTTGAACACAGCTGTTCATGTAGTCATGTACACCTACTATGGATTGTGTGCACTGGGACCAGCCTACCAGAAATATTTGTGGTGGAAAAAATACTTGACAACACTACAGCTTGTGAGTAACTCCCCTCCCCTTCCCAAAAAGTAGATTTTAAGCCCCACAAGTAGAAATCAGTCCATTTCTATGTAAATTATGTTCCCACCTAAATTGTCCACAGAGCAAACAAATAACTTCATCATTGGACATTATGTAGTTAATCTTTTGATATAATTTTAGTTTTATCATGAACCTATCCGAAAACTATTGAGTATATTTATAAAATAGTAAGTACTAATTATAAAATCTTAAACCAGAATGTGTGTACCATCCCAGCTGTTTCATTTATAGTTAAGTCAAATAGGTATATTCAAATAATTAACATGAATCAGCCTAATGGGATCTATTACTACTATAATACTAAACTGAAGTAGAAAAGATCAACATGCTTGGTTTAAACTCTCTATAGCTTATCCCACAATATTGGATGAATTATTTAATTTTTAAATAATTAAAAATTATTCCTTCTTCCTCTTTCCCACCATTCCCAACCTCAATATGTATAAACTCCTATATTTATTTAGCACCAGAGGATTATTATGAGAACCAAAAACCAAAATTCAGAAAGGTGATAAATCAATATGCTTTCAAAAATGATTTTCCAATCACAATTTATAATTACCCTCTAATCAAACAAGTAGCCAACATATACCTAAAAATCTATGTAGTAGGAATACCTCTCCAACATCTAAGTTTAAATTCTGAATCATATAAAAAAATGGGACATGGAGCTATGCTGCCTTTAGAACTATTATTTAAGGCTTAAACAGAGTATTAGCTTAAATATTTTTGTATCAGCATCCTACTCTGCCCAGCAAGTTGACCTCACATTCTACCACAGCTAAAGAAGAAGGCATGGATTTAGGGTGGTATAGCTAGATTTGACATTTAAAAAGGGAACTTATAGTTATTGCTTAACATGGATCAAGTGCCCAGAATACCCTGGGCAACCTATAAAACAAATCTATCATAGGTTCCCTGTCTTAAGGTGGAAGAATTAAATTTTGATTCAAGACCTGTGCCATGTCAAGATTTGAATATGTGCCTAGAGATGGTTGCCCTTGAGTATGCCCAGAAGGGCCTATTCTCTGTTCTCTCTGTTGTTCTAATTCCTATGAAGACAGTGTGGGTTGTGGTAAAAATACTGTACCTAGAGCCAGGAAGATCTAGCTTCAAACACTGCCTCTGACATTTAGTTAGCTTTGTTATCATAGACAAGTCACTTAGCCTTCCTGAATCTCACTTGCCTCATCTGTAAAATGAAAGGGTTGGATTATATTGCCTCTAAAGTCCTTTCTAGATCTAGATCCACGATCCTAAGATCTTATGAACTGACTGAGACCAATGAAAATCCTACTTTGAAGAACTTACTCTGAAGACTTAGAATAGCAGGGAAAGGGAAAGCCATTTTTGCATAAAGCAATGGTTCTCAAACTCTTTCAGCTTGTAGCTCAGAATCATTTGAAAACTTATACATGTGTATGTAATTGTAAGTTGCGTGAAAATCTAAGTTCAGTCTAGTTCCTGAGTCACACATGCCTATATGTAATTGAAAGTGGACCTCCTATATAATTTGGGGCACACCTGACAAAAATTTGGGGCATACTCTTGAAGAGCTCCTGGGCTTAGTGTATGGGAAGATGCTAGGGATTCTTTTGGTTACTTCAAAGTCAGGGGTGCTCCTAGCCCATTTTGCAAAGAGAACCCCTACACATTTAGGTTGTTGTTGTTCAGTTGTATCCTACTCTTCATGACCAGTTTCGGGTTTTTGTAGCAAAGAGACTGGTATGGTTTGCCATTTCCTTCTCCAGCTCATTTTACAGACAAAGAAACTGAGGCAAATAGAGTTAAGTGACTTGCCCTGGGTCACACAGCAAGTAGGTGTCTGAGGTCAGATTTGAACTTAAGTCCTCCTGACTCCTGGGCCTGCCACTCTATACACCATGCCACCTAGCTGCCCCATTTAGGGACACATTTAGGACAACTTGGATTCTCCAAAGATTTTCTATGTTGCCAGTGTGAACCAGTTCTGAACTTTGATCCATAGTAAAGTAACTCTTAAGGAAGTTGCTTTTTAAGCAAAATTGCATGGCTCAGGAACAGCCAATAGAGGTGGAGGAGAGGTATAGGTTGGTTGTGTAAGTGGTTAAGAATTAAACTGCTAAATTAAATAGAAGAGTTTTTAAATGTCAACAAAATACCTGAGTATTTTCCTTGTTCTCTTCTTTAGGTTCAATTTGTTATCGTGACAGTCCATATAGGACAGTCCTTCCTTATAAAGGATTGCAAATACCAGTTTCCAATCTTCCAGTATATCATCATGTGCTATGGGTGTATCTTCCTGTTCTTGTTTGCCCACTTTTGGTATCGTGCTTATATCAAGGGTCAAAGGCTGCCCAAAACTGTGAAAAACGGAGTCTGCAAAAGCAAGAATAACTGAAATCTCATGTTGACACAGATACTTCAGACTGCCATACTATACTCCTAGACAATCAGGACATATTTAGATGCACAGTACATTTTGTATGTTTTTCTTCAAAACCAAGAGCTTGTATTTTTATGATAAGTTATTTGGGTTTCTGATATTTGAGAGGGAGGGTAATATGCAGATTAGAAACTAATCGTGAAGGGGTTTTTTTTGACATTTTCAAATGCTATACAGAATCTAAAGGTCTGGCTTGATATCTTTCTTTACAATGATACAAGGCAGTAGAGGTAGAACACTCTTCAAAGAAGTCCAGCATGCATGAAAAATATCAAATATTTTGAGCACTGAGAAGAGTTTAAACCACTAGCTTAGATATTGTTGAAGGTGGGCTGACTTAGGATGATTACTGTTGGCTTCATTATAACACTTCAATGATCCTGGAGTTGATTTTCCTGTTTAAATAGATAACAGTGGTGAAGATTAAGCAACTTTTTTGGAATTGTATTAAATATAATTTAGAGGTAATTTGTAGTCAGTGGGTCTTTTGGGCAGTGGTTTTAGTTTCTACTGACAAATGTTTCGCTGATAGGCTAATAAAAACAACCCATTACAGTTATTTTATCCCTGAGTAGAGCTGAATTTGCCAAGAAGAAAAAGTACTTAAAGTTCAGCTGTGATCTTCACTTTGAGTATTTTTATTGGCTCTGTTATGTTTTAGCATGACTCAGCTGTAAGTTGTGATCTTCTCACAAGTTGTGATCTGTGGCTTAAAAGAAATTACCTTTCATTATTGGGCTAAACAGACTTCAGGATTCACAGCGATTGTAGGGTGCCAGTTATGCCCACTATTCAGATATCTTTTGAAGCAAATGAATGCAAATAAAAGGGTAGGTGTTTAAGAGTGAGTATACCTGTTTATATATTGGGTTGTTTTTTTTTAATAAAGGTGATCAGAGGAAAGTGATTATGGAATCATCCAAATACTAGTGCCACAGAATAATTAATTGTTCCTTTAAAAAAAAGTATTAAAGAGGACAGTTTCTGGGGTTGTTAGCCATAATCTTCTCTGAGATCTTCACAATGTTATGGCACTTTAAAAAAAGTTCTGAAGGATTGACTCACCTTGAATGTGTTCTGTCTCTTTAAAAGATTCCCTTTCACTTACATGAGCCAATACAAAGTGAAATGTACTGTGTACAAAGTAACAGCAATATGGTAGGATGATCAGCTGTGAATGACTTAGCTATTCTCAGCAACACAATGATCCAAGACAACTCTGAAAGACTTGATGAAAAATGCTATCCATCCCCAAAGAAAGAACTGATGGTGTCTGAATACAGATTGAAGCATACTTTTTTAAAACTTTCTTTATTTTTCTTGAGGTTATTTTTTAGTCTATGCTTTCTTTCACAACATGACTAATATGGAAATATTTTGCATGACTATACAACTATAACCTATATCAAATTGCTTGCCTTTTCAATGTGGGGGATTGGGGAGGAAGGGAGAGAATTTGGAACTCAAAGTTTTAAACACAAATGTTAAAGATTGTTTTTACATGTAACTGGGGAAAAATAAAATACTAAATAATTTTTCGAAAAAGTCCCTTTTCTAAAAATTCTCATTTTCATAAGCGCAGGATAATGTTAGTCAATCAGAGTTAGTTTTAAAACTATGGATGTACTTTGGTCAAGAACAAATTGAAACCAGAAAGTTCTGAATTTTTCTAGACTTCTTTATTTCAAATTTTGAATAATTATTTTACATCTTGAACTGATTTTGGTCCCCAAATAGATATGCTACTATCTAGCTAATATATGACCTACAGTGAAACCAGTGTTTAAATCTAGTGGATTGTGTAAGACTGACTAGATTGTGTTTTTCCTGTATACCTGCAACTCCCTGGCCTAAAGTCCATCCTTTGCTATGGTTCTATGCCTTCATTCTTACCATATTCTCAAGTTCCCTTGTTTCAAAATGCTGTACAGGGACATGATTCACCTACCATACAAAAACTTAGAGGGGTGTGGAAATGACAGATTAAGGAGAAAGAGGAGTTTACCTTGGAAAGGATGCAGAGATCAAAGAACCAATCCCTCTCTAGCTATCTCAGTGTCCATGGTTCACTTAATTGGAGGTCAAAGTTAGGAAATTATAATAAGGGGATGCTGTGGTCTGTGCTCTCAGAGACCCTAAAGTTGTAAATGGTGAAAAGCAGAGACCTTAAGGAAGGCAAAAGAGAAAAGAAAAAGTGTTGGTTTTCATATATACTTTTCTTTGATCTTGCTTCTACTACCTACTTTCTCCTCCATTTGTCTGCATTGTCCTTTCTGTATGATGTATATTGGCATGGAAAGGATGGCTGCTTTAGTTGAGAAGAGGAAATCATTTTTTAGTCTGATTAGAAGCAGCTTCAAAATCAAATGAAGAGGAAGTTAGGGGAGAAGAAGCGGAAATTTCCAAATATCAAAAACATCCTAGATAGGATCTTCTTCCATTAACAAAGAAAGGATCACTAGTTCACTGTGAATGTTGTTGGATGAGGGGTTTGTCTAGACTTAGGTTGGTAGGGACAGGCTTCAAATCTTGAGTCATATAAAGATGTTCTGTCTAGTAGGATGTCTTTAACTTTTCAGTATTTCCTTACCTTTGGTCTTAAATAAGCTTTATTTGTGAGTTTGTAAGCTACAAGTTTTTGCTTAGAATTTGTGAATCCTGGAAAGGACTAAATCTATGAGGTATTTGTAAATGCATAAATTTCTAAATACTATGGGACTTTATTTACCATTTTATGGTTTTAGTATATTTTAGTTCAATGAACTACAGTGTTTGCTCCATGAAATTCCACTTCTTCCCTGATTCTTTACTTCCATTGACTTTTTTATGGGTTGTAAAACACTATCTGGATAATATCAGAATAGAATTTGGATCTCTGTACATTGTAATAAATTTGAGGTATTATGTCATTTTTGTCTGTGCATTTTTCTATTGCCTTTTCCCTTGGATTGTAGCTATTTTGAGGGAAGAATGTCAAATATTCATTGGGTACCATATAACTAATATTTGTTAAGTACCTATTGTGTATAAATCACTAGATTTTATGGGGGGATAGTAATAATAGGACATAGATCCTGTCATCTAGAAGCTTATTATGTTGTAGAGGAGTAATAACATATACAAAGAGTTCTAATGCAAAACAGTGTACACGTTTTCTGTGAATGGTACCATAGTAACTGCTATAAAGGAGTCCAAAAAGAAGAAACACCTTTATGGCTGGAGCATCTCAAGGAGGCCAGATTTTAACTAGATCTTAAAGGGTGATGAAGAATTCATAGAGATGGGGCAGTGTTTGAGGAAGAAGGTATATCAGGGAGTTCATTCTAAGTAGAAGAAAGAGAACAGAGGTACAGATTTTCAGAGCTAGAAAAGAACCTTACAACATATTTAATTCGATGCCCTCTCTGAGGGGTTGAGAAAGAGAGGTTCAATGATTTCCTCTCTAGTTCGATAGTGGTAGTTGGAGAGCTAACAGTGGGATCTTCTGAATCCTGGGTCAGGGCATTTTCCATTGCACTATAAAGAGGCAAAGGCAAAGAGAGAAGGAAACATAAGGTCTTTTCAGGCCAGTTTGGATGAAGTCAAGAGTTTCAGTAGCATTGAGAGAGATTAGAAAAGTCAAAGAAGCCAGATTGTAGAAAACCCTAAATATCAAACTAAGGAATTTATATTTTTATTCTATTCTAGGGAGTTCTCAGACGTTTTTTGAGCAGGTGACTGATAATCAAAACAGTTTTTAGGAAAATAAATATGATGGTGGCATGTAAGATCACCTCCTGGCTTCTTTTAAGATCCAACTCAAATCCTACCTTCTTCAAGAGGCCTTCGCCAGTCTCTTCTACTGCCAGCAGCCTCCATCTGAGATTATCTCCCATTTGTAAATAGGGTTTTTTTTGTATTCTTTGTATTCCCAGCATTTAGGACAGTATAAGCGCTTAAAATTTTTTTAATGATGTTTGTAACGGAAAGTTGAAAGCTGATTAGCAGGCTATCACAACAATACATACACATAAGGTAGAAGTAGGCCTGAGTTGGGGTGGGGTACTGAGAGTAGAAAGCAAGAAACTAGGAAGTTGTCAAGGAATTTACAAGAATTGATGATTGGTTGGATAGACAGGATGAGAGAGAAGGAAGAGTAAAAGATGAAGAAGGATGAGTAAAAGGTCTTCTAAGACAGCTAAGATCAACAATTAGTCTATATTTAGGGGTCCTACAAGAGCTAAAGAATCCTATGCAAGGTATACTTGTGCTACTCAAGGAATTTATAATCCATTTAGGAATAGTGGACAAATACGCAGAAATTATAATATATGGCAATATGGAAGTGCCAAATGAGTAGCTGAAAAATTTTAAATGGTTAAGTTTTTATGTAATACATAGTACGTCAATGTCAAAAGAAGCCTGGCCTTTGAAAAAGTCAGTTTATGCAGTCCTTCAGCTTCAATTTCGGAGTCTTAAATGAAATTGGTTAATTCAATTTAAAAAAGCATTTACTAAGCACCAACTATGTTCTAGGCACTGTGGTTACAAAACCAGAAACAAACAGTCCCTATCTTCAAGAAGCTTATATCCTTCTGGGTGATTCAAAGTCACCTCATCACTAGCTTTCAAGATGAAAAGGGACACTTGGAATTAATTTGGCTCAGGTCAGAAGTGGGAGGACAGAAATCTCTAAAGTACTGCTTAGCCAAAGAATCTGCCCCAGAAGAAAGAACCACAGAAAGAAAATTTTTCTTTAGTAGGGCATTTGCTTCAAAAAAGCATCCTAAGGCATGTATAACCTTGTGACTCTGAATAGTGAGTGGAAATGTGTTATTAAGATGTAATAATCAAAGGAATTTAGATTGTGAAACTAGCTGTGAAAGAGTAGGTCTCAGTAGATTTGCTTTAAATTAAAAAAAGATCATATTTTTGTTTTCTTTTAATGTTTTATTTGATGTATGTTTTGATATTGTTTTACTTATGATTGATGATATGAATTAACCAAGCTTTTGCAAATATACTTGTTTTTATAAGAATAAAACTCAATCAGTTTTTTATTAAATGGATACTATGTGCCAGGCACTATGCTAAGTGTTGGAGATACAAAAAGAAGCCAAAAACAGTCCTTGCCTTCAAGGAGTTTGCAGTCTAATGGAGAGATAATAAGCAAACAAATATGTATAAAGAAGCTACATACAGGATAAACGGAAAATAATTAACAGAAGGAAAGTTCTGAAATTAAGAGGAGTTGGGAAAGTCAGCTAGATGGTATGGTGTATGACAGTGGTGGGCTTGGAGTCAGGAAGATTCATCTTCCTGAGTTCAAATCTGGCCTCAGACATTTACTAGTTGTGTGACCCTGGGCAAGTCACTTCACCTTGTCTGCCTCAGTTTCCTCATCTATAAAATGAGCTGGAGAAGGAAATGGCCAACCACTCCAGTATCATTGCCAAGAAAGTCCCAAATGAGGTCATGAAGATTCAGACACAACATAAATGACTCATCACCAACAATAATGGGAAAGGCTTCCTGTAGAAGATAAGATTTTAGTTGGAACTCAAAGGAAGCTAAGAATTAAAGATGAGGATCATAGAGTACCTGGCCAGGAGTAAGGTGTAAGAAGACTGGAAAGATAAGAAGGGGCTAAGTTATAAAGGTCTGTGAACACCAAAGGAATTTGTATTTGATTCTAGAGGAGATGGGGAACCACTGAATTTTATTGAGTAGGGAGGACATCACTGGACTTGCGCTTTAAGAAGTGTAAGAGGGTTAGCTAGATGACACAGCAGACAGAGCACCAGCCCTGGACTCAAAGGGACCTGAGGTCAAATCCAGACTCAGACACTTGACACTAGCTGTGTGACCCTGCACAATCACCTCACCCTGTTATCATCCAAAAAAAAAAAAGCAAACACAAATTATAAGAATAAAAGTATACTAAGAAGGAAAATCTTTGACACTTATAAAACAAGGTTTGCAGTGTTTTACACACACTATCATTCTGAACCTCCCTAAAATCCTGTAAGGAAGGCCTATTGGGTATTGTCCTCATTTTATGAATGGGCAAACTGAGGCTGAAAATGAGGAAAGATGATTTGTCTACAGCGTCAAATAAATGTCATCGCAGACTACAGATGGTCTCTAGGTTACCTTCCAACTCAGGATTTGTGAAATAGTCTTGCTTATCTTGGCAGATTATTTCTTTATAAA